GTGTTCTACGGGGATGTCCTGCAGTTGAATGTGAGCACCGGTAGGTCGCAGCGATTCAATGTTGGCAACTATGTATCAATCGTGATACCGGTGCTCAACGCCCCGAACAAACTAGTGGTCAGTAAACGTAATTACCTCATCGAAGTGGACTGGGAGGCTAAGAGCTACCGGCGCCTGACCACCAATGATATAGGGGTCGAAAAGTTTAACGATGGTAAGGTGGATGCTCTAGGTCGCTTATGGATAAACAGCCTGGTCAGTCTGGATTACTACACTAATGATGCGTCGGTCAAGGATGCCGGTGCCCTGTATAGGCTCGACGGGTTGGAGTTGACCAAGGTGGACGGGTATTATACCCTACCTAATGGTATGGCATGGAATGGTAATAATACAAAGTTCTATGTGGCCGATACCGTGGAAAGGGTGATCTATGTCTACGATTATGATTTAGATGCCGGTGCTATTGGTATGGGATTTGATTTTTATTTGCTTTAATATTTTATTTTAGTATAATAATAATCACTGATAATTATTTATTATCGTAGTTATGTTATGATAATTTATTTTTAATTTGGTGTTTAATTCAAATTTAATTTACCGCTGATTTTGGCATTCATCGAGCGACAATTAGTTTTATATAAGCAGGGTATATAATAATTTGACTGATAGCTCAGTTAATAAATAACCCGATTATATCCGTATACCGTATAATAAAAATTTGTATTCATCACTTAAGTAATCAATATAAATGTCTTATATAGTAAATGCATAGACCTATCGTTATTAGCAACTTTATTTACAGTTTAAACTTTAAAGTAAACACCATGCTATAAATTAAATATTACAATTATTTTTCATGCTCATTCACTTTAGTTTAGTTTATAAGTTAGATAAATAATGTTGCATTTATTGTTAGATAACAGGGAAATATTTTTCAATTTTAATACGTACCCTGGTATTAACCCATGGGAAGTGCCCGATGGCATGGCTATGGACAGCCAGGATAATCTATGGATTACCTCGCTATTCGGCGCACGTTTATTCCACGTCGATACGGACACCGGTATTTGACCTAACTACTAAATAATGTCCTTGCTTATACTAGTGATACCTGACCAACTTGTACAGGTCACGTGCTACGATGGATAGATACCCTGGTCAACCAGACAACATCGGTAGCATTTGGTGGTCCCCATTATAACCAGTTGTTTGTGACTAATGGGAACCGGGATCTCATCACATATAAGGCCAAACAACTACAGCCCACTATCGGTGAAGTGTTGGGTTTTACGGCAGAGTTTATATGCGGTCGACCCGCTTATAAAGTACGGCTACCTTATTATGACCAGGGTAATCATAATCATGTGGACGAGCACGATGATAATGATGATTATGACAAGCATGTTCATAGATTAATATAATTATAGTCATTTTAGTAAATATATTTTATTTATTCTCATGTAATGTATATTTAATTGATACATGTACAAGATTATTATGAATTAATTAACTTGTAGTTATAGACTGTAATTTAAACAATTGTAAAAGTTTTGTATAATTTAATACTTGTTTTAAAATAAACTATAAAATTTGATGTACTTGTTGTAGCATAAAGCATGTTAAATAAAGTATATTTTAAATTTTTATTTTAGCATAACTAAAACCATGAATTCAGCTGGATCACAGTTGGCAAGATTTGCTTTTTGCATGATCATAAACTTATTTTATTAATCATATAAAATAAACTAAAAACTATGTCTATACTATCAAAGACAACTCATTTTAATAACCTGTTTATTACAATACTATTCATTAGTATTCATACGACTTGTGGTAATAGACCTAAGCACAGTTACCCTGATAAATGTCACGACAACCTGGAGGGCCGGCACGTCAGCCATACGGCCTACCACTTGGGTGAGGGTCCCTTTTGGGATGACCTGACACAGACATTATTCCACGTGGACATGTTTTACGGCGATATTATCCAGCTCAATGTAAGCACCGGTGAGTCGCAAATATTGAACGTGGGCAATTTCGCATCCATTGTGATACCGGTGCTCTACGCGCCCAACAAACTGGTGGTCAGTAGGCGTAACCACCTAATCGAGGTGGACTGGGAGTTCAAAAGCTACCGGCGCTTAACTAGTAATGATATCGGGGTTGAAAAGT